GACTTCCTTTTCTACCACTCCCATCACCGCTCGAAGTGGCTAATGCTTTGGGACCTACACCCACTGTGGGTAAATGTGTGGTCACAGTGGGCAGCCGTCCCCGTGGCCCTCCGAATACCACTGCCCCCTACCTTAGCGGCTACCATGCAGTTACCAGTATGGCTAACCACGTTCACCCCTTCTCTATTGGCGATGGCAAGTGTGCTGCTAACATCATTAATTCGCCCCCCACTCGTCGCTGGTGTCTACACGGGGCTTGCAGTGGCATCCGTAGTCTCGGGGATATGCTCGATGTCCACGGAGTATGGCCGTCTCGAACTGAGTTCGTGACGAGGATGTCAAATGAGAACCCACACGCCCCAATCGAAATTGCACCAAATGGGACCATGCGATGGGCGCCTGTACATCGCTCAGGGATGATTTATACTCATCTCTCGCGTGTCTACGACCACGTCCAGCTTTCATTCCGTGGCACCCCCCCTGTCAATCGTACTCATGTCATTCCACGCTCCCGACGAGCCAGTTCCACACCCAATGTCTACACTAGCCCGCGACAACCCCTCATCGCTGCGCAGCTACGTCCAGCGTGTTCGACAGACTTTTCGCCTGCCGCCGCCCATCCAAAGTGATGTCTGGCTACGCCTGTTGTTCCACATGCTGCCAGTTAACAGCCGCTTCTTCTACTTGCAAACTACCCGCCCCGATGCCATCTACTGTACGTACGGGTGTGGCATCATTGAGACTCAGTCACACACTTTCCACTCGTGCCACCGGGTGCACCCAGTTTGGCTATTTCATGCATCCGCCTGGCGGCGCTTTGGTGTCACATTTTCGTGCGAGTCAATCTTCGACGTTGACAGTTTCGCTGTCAACCCCTGCAGTGTCCCACGTAAGGACGCAATACAACTACTGTGGACACACCTCGTGGCCACGATCCTCCACCTCATCTGGACCCAACACAACTTGATCCAGTATGAAGACCAACCCCCACTACCACCGGATGCATGGCACCAGCTCACGTTCATTGGCTGGATGACGTCCGTTCGCCGGTGGCTCCGGCTCCAACTTCCCCACTGCCCCCTTCGCACCACTGTGCTCCAAGTATTGTATTCACTTCGCGGCCACCCCAACTACCGTGTGCTGTGGGTGAAGTACCCTCACTGCCTGCACCTCCTACCATCGCCTCCCTCCACCTAGGTGCTCCCTTGGCCACCACCTTCGGCGCCTATTTATTGAGAACGGTACCATGCCACTTGTACCACCCCCTATCTATTGAAAACCAGCAAACCATAGTGCTCCGATATCCACTGCAAATCTTGCTTTGGCATTTAGGAATTGGGATGAGCCTTCGGGCAATATTAGTACTAGTAGTTAATACCTACTAATACACTCCCCTTTGACACTGCGCCAGCCGTGCTATGTGTCTTTCGAGAGACACAACTTTAATACGCGCCGACCGTGGAGACCCTGGCAACTACGACCGATTGCACTGATGGAAGTGGAAGTGAAAGGGCCGTGGATGGTGTTGATGTCCAAGTTACGATTGTCGACGAAAACGCGATGGATCATGGCGATGCCCGACCGGCGGCCTCTACCGCCACTATATAATATTTTGGAAGAGGTTTCGGGGTTTCGGGGTTGTGGTATTTTAGCTAATTCACTGGGGTTTTATAAATGCCAAATAACTCTGAGCAATAATAATCACATGTGATGCTGAAGTGACCAAAGGGACCAAAACACCTTGGCTGTTTTTCCATCGCGTAGTACATGCTACCTGCATGTACTACGCGATGGAACAAGAAGATGGCGTGGTTTTCTACGATGTGACACCATACGTACATTGCTGCACGGTAGAACTTCGGCGCAATGTGTCATTTGTAATATCAAAAGTTGTTCATGATGACCAGTGGATTGTGCAATTTGGTCCCGAGAATAGCAGATATAACTTCGATTTGCACTTTTCAAATGTGCAAAAGTGAGGGAGTTGCATAAATGACCTCCCTATAATTACATTCTGTAACGAAACGTGACATCCTAAATGACGGTATGGATTATCTAAGGGTGCGTCTGGTAACATTTTTATTCCATTTTCTCGGAAAATGGGATTAACCCAAAATGCCATTTTCAAAATGGAGGTAAAAGGTCCATTTTGTAATATGGCGTTTTGGACCTCTTCAACGAGTAAATGCCACGTGGAATTATTTGATTTGGGTTAAACCTCTTCCAGCAAGACATGTTTCAATTTTGATCAGATTTGTTGAATTCGGCCCCAAAATGGCGTTTTGGGCCTGAATAATTGCAATATTTAAGACTTACGGGACAGCATTTAATATTAATACCATCCCTGGATACGATAGGTAATATAATATAATTGTTGAATCACAGCGTGGATGACATTGGGATGACATGGGATGAAATTGAATGAAGTTGTGGGATAAAACCTAAGGGCCTGGTCTGCGAATAAAATGCTTCATGTCCGAGGGTGTTCATGTCTCTACGGATAACAAATATTCGGATGGTCAAAGCATTGTGGTCTGCGAACGTTCGTGTCCAGGTCTCATGAAGGCCAAAGATGTCATTGTGATTGCCGTGGCAAGCACATATCTGCCGTTTGTGTGGGAATCGCTGCATTCACACGATCAGCCAAGTACAATGTCCTAACCGTCTCCAGCATCGACTTCGATGCAATGCTGGGGGACCGACAGTACGAGCAATGGTTCCTTTTGAACCTCCGATGCAATCAAGCAACGTTTGTTGAAATTGTGGCTTGGTTCCGTTCCGTCCAGGCTCCCACGACACCACGCAAGTCCGTGCACTCCATGGAGAAGAAGGTGGCTGTCCTGTAGTTCGTTCTGGGGTCCGATTGTGGGTTACGTGAGGCCGGTGGTGTGTTTGGCATGTCCAAGTCGCGGTGCATTTGTGTTGTACATCACATGGTTGACATCTTGACTAACCGTGCAAGCACATGGATCAATTTACCGAGCACATTGGATGCATGGGCCCAGGTGGAGTTGGGTTTTTTCAAGAAGCAGCAAATTCCTGGGATCGTTGGCGCAGTCGACGGCACTCTCATCGATATTCAACGCCCTGCCGACTACGATGGATTCTATAATCGGAACGGTGACCCGTCGCTAAACGTCCAAGCTGTCGTGGATGCGGACCTGCGATTTATATCCGTGGATATTTGACCTGGATCATACTCGGACAAAAAAAATTGGAAAACCTCAAAATTTGGGAGAACAATTCGTCGCAAAATTCCAATGGGTTGTTTCATCATCGGCGATGCTGGGTATACATTGCTGCCGTGGTTGATTACTCCGTATTTGCCCCATGAAGAAGGCGGTAGGCTGTCTAAATTACAAAAGTGTTTCAATTTCAAGCACTCGAGCAGCAGAATGTCTGTGGAGTGTGCATTCGGCAGACTCAAGGAACGTTTCCGAACATTGAAGACTGTCATGAACGAGAAGTCACTCGCCCGCACCGTGTCCATCGTCACTGCTTGCTTCGTCCTGCACAACATGCTTCTGCAATTCAACGATGGCCTCTTCAACACTCCGTGCCATCGCCGCGATCGAAACGACCACGTTCAACCGCTCGATATTGCTGACGTAGAAACAAACTCGGAATATCGGAATAGCGCCCTTGCCAAGCTTAGTACCATGGCTAAATTTGTTTATCAATAATGGACATTGCAAATGATTTACATTTATTAATCCTTTTTGGCAATGAGGTGCGACAGGAGCTGGGACATGGTGTCTGATTGAGCCTTTATGGCACTCAAAACGTCGTCGAGAGTAGCCACAGAGCTCGTCTGGGTGGCAGGAGTTGGCGCAGCTGCCACGACTTGATGGGAAGGTGTTTGTTGATGGGATGGTGTTTGTTGAGCCATCGCAGACCCCAAAAACATTAATACCTCCTTGATGGCAGTAAATCCAGCTTCCAGGGACTCTGATGGTGACTTGGTCTTTTTTGATTTCCCATTCGTCTTTATTTTTTTTGCTCTGGCTGCTCAGCCTCCTCGCCAGCATACCTTTCGTCATCGCCGAGAGGGGCATTGTCGGGATTGTTGTATACAGGAGAAATAGACGCAGATTAAACTACCCAAAATGCAAATAAATCTGTCGTATTAATAATACCCATTTTTGTCCGTTGAAATTTCTTCATCACTGGTATCATCAGTGCTGATAAGCGACTCCCTTCGGAAGCCAGCCTTTTCCCCCCAATAATCAAGCATTACGTCGTAATGCAGGGGCAGAAGGGCCCGGGGAGAGTTCCCAGTCGGAGCAGGCAACGTTGGCTTGGAGAGAGACCATTCTGTCTTCATGTTGGCCAGCTAAAACAATCACATGATAAACCTAATAAATGGTCATGTCGAACGCACCTTGTCTTGCACTTGCTTGGCTGTAAATTCGCGCTGCATGACGACGCTAAGTTCGGTCGCCAGCATGACGTACGCTACTCGCTTGCCGTAGTTGTTCTTGGAGTCAAATCGGCTAGCCAAAGCAGACTTGTACCGCAGCTTGAACATTGCTTCAACACTTTGGTCGCACCACAGTGTCGGACGTGGGGGCTGCTTCCGGGAG